TGGCCTGAGAGCTCCTCGGACTCGCTCAGCTCAGGGGGCAGTGACTCGGATGAGAGTGTTTACAAGGTGCTGCTGCTGGGGGCGCCCGGCGTGGGCAAGAGCGCTCTGGCGCGCATCTTCGGTGGCTTAGAGGACGGGCCTGAAGCAGAGGCCGCAGGTGAGGGGCTGGGACTGTTCCAAGGAGGGGAGATCCCAGGGTTAGGACACGGGGCTACAGGGCTGGGGACCTGGAATAAAAGTGGCAAATACCAAGGGATTTGAAGGTACTTTCAGAATCATGCCTCTACCTACCCATTTCACAGTTGGGGAAATTAAGGGAGAAGGGACCCTTAGTAAAAGAAGAAATACTGAGTGGAAGGCCCGGGGCACACATATGCCTACTCTAGGATGGGGCAGGACAGCCCTTCCTGCCAGATGGACAGGAACACAGTCAGAGGGAGTTTCTAGGAGAGGTGCCTTAGGTGACTGAAGCCCCAGAGGATGTGACTAGCATTATTCTAACTCAGGCCACCGTGGTCAGAACCACCCAGGCAACGGGGCGGGGGGCCGGGGGTGGGGGGGTGGGCAGGAAGCAGAGGAATTGCTAGCTTGGGGAAGGGGTGTCTAGGTGGGGGTCAGGCACAGCATGCCTTCCTTCTCCACGCTCCCCCACCCCCCAGCCCCCCACTTCTGTTGCCACATAACAGCCATCAGTGGACAGGAAGGTTGGGAGGGGGGCTCTGGGGAGAGTTGGGGTGTGTGTCCGGAATAGGAAACCTGGCACCTGGGGGTTGGGGGAGGCTTTTGGCAGCCAGCAAATAACCTGACTACTTACCGGTTTCCTGTCTAGGGCACACGTATGATCGTTCCATCATGGTGGATGGAGAAGAGGCATCGCTCATGGTCTATGACATTTGGGAGCAGGTAGGATGCAGGCTGAGACCCAGGGTGGGTGGGAGGGGTGAGCTGGGGATAGGGGCCTGCTGGGAGCAACAGTTTGTAGCTGGGGCACGGGGACTGTTGGGTAGATGTGTGTGTGTCTATCTTCTTCAGGATGGGGGCCACTGGCTACCTGGCCACTGCATGGCCATGGGGGATGCATACGTCATCGTCTATTCAGTGACGGACAAGGGCAGCTTCGAGAAGGCCTCAGAGCTGCGGGTCCAGTTGCGGCGGGCGCGGCAGACGGACGACGTGCCCATCATCCTCGTGGGCAACAAGAGCGACCTGGTGCGCTCCCGGGAGGTCTCCTTGGATGGTGAGCAGGGTGGGGGTCAGAAAAGGAGGGAGATCCTGGCTGGGCTGCGGTCCACTCAGGCTTGACTCAGCTTGAGTCCCCGGGGGATCGTCAGTGGCTAAAAATGTTCAGGAAGAAAACTTGTGGGGGGAGAAGGAGAGAGCTGCTGTCCTCCCACAGGACTCCCCCAAACCTGAGAGTGCTGGGGAAAGGCCCAAATGCACCAGGAGAGGTGGCAGCTGCAGGGTCAACTCAGGGCCCCCCTCTCCTGTCCTCTGTGGCCCTGGCCTGACAGACGAGGAGTGAGGAGAGTGCCTGGAACCAGGCCAGGAGGTCAGAGCCTGGACCCAGGCCTGGGCCAGTCTCGAAGCAGGCTGCCCCTGGGGAGGACCCTGCCCTCTTGGGCTGAGTATCCTCCTTTGTGGCCCCCAGAACTGAGCCCTTTAGAGGAACCTGGCAGTGACTTGGTTACATACCCACCATTCCACTGGTCATTCATCACGATATAAAACACTCAGCTATCCAACAAAGTTCTCATTCTCCCGTGTTGACGACTGCAGCACTTCCATTTATGTATCAGACTTCGGATTATTTCAATAGATGAGTCTCCTTTTGTGGGCCTTTCCGAGCTCCTTAAACTCATACACCCAGTCGGGTGACCAGCAATACCTGAGACCCTCCATACAGGGCTGGGGTCTCAGTTTCTGAGCTTACCCGTAGGTTCCTGAGTGGTAGCTGCCCTGGGGTGTCCAGGGTTTGCGGGGGCTCCTCACGCACCCCCCCTTTGTTGACTGGTTTGTGCCTGTCCCCACCTCCACCAGAGGGCCGGGCCTGTGCGGTGGTCTTTGACTGCAAGTTTATTGAGACCTCAGCTGCACTGCACCACAACGTCCAGGCGCTGTTCGAGGGCGTCGTGCGCCAGATACGCCTGCGCAGGGACAGCAAAGAGGCCAATGCGCGCCGGCAAGCGGGTACCAGGCGGCGAGAGAGCCTCGGCAAGAAGGCGAAGCGCTTCCTGGGCCGCATCGTAGCACGCAACAGCCGCAAGATGGCCTTCCGAGCCAAGTCCAAGTCTTGCCACGACCTCTCGGTGCTCTAGGCCTCAAGGGCACTCCCTGCGTTGTGCAGATCATTGGACAGACTGGTGGGCTAGCCCAGACTCCGGTATCCCCCGCCTCATGGTCATGGACAGACAGGGCTGCCCAGGGAGGTGGCTTCCACTGGCCGTCGAGGGCTGGGCCCAAAGAGGCGCTTGGGCAGGCCCATGTGAGTCCCAAGCAGCAGCCCGAGCCCAGCTCCTGGGACAGCTCTGTGTGTGGGGAGAGGACGCTGCCTCTCTCTCCACGTGGTGTGCATGCCCTGGAGGGTGGCTGTTCAGTGCGGTGGCTATTTGTTTACAGGCAGATTTTTGTAATAAAGATTATTTCCTGATAGTTGGAGGCTGTGGACTCTGTGTTTCCTCCTGGGAGGGGAGGGACTGCAGGAACAGGCAGGCTTCCCAAAGTGTGTGGCCTTGCCTATCCTAATGTTTGGGCCCAGATGTAGCCAGCTGCGTCCGAGGGGGCAGGTGTGACTGGGGCCTGCTTTGGGGTCCCAGCAGCAGGAGGCGACATGAGTCCCTCCCAGGCGTTATCCAGATTCTTCACTAACTGCTGGGGCCTGGCATTGCCCAGTTGGTTGAGGGTTCAATCACTCCGCTGTGTGTAAGGGAAACCGAGGCTGCCCGAGGGACCTCATCCTGCCCCAAGTCTCATGGCCGAATAAGAACCCTGGGTTTGGCCCTCCAGCTGGTGTCTCTACCCTGCTCCCTCCACAGGGGCTGGAAATGCATGGGGGTGGTGGTGGTGTGGGGTGTGTGTGGCTGTGGGAGACTTTATGACTCCCTGGCTTGTTAAGGGTGAGGTGAGGAAGGCACATCCTATGGGCTTGACTCTGAATAGCTCCCCACCTCCTTGCTGAGGCTGGGTGGCTGAGGGCCCTCACTGTTCCCTCCACTGTGAGTGGCCAGGCCAGAACGTCCCCTGCTTCTGGTATTGGCAGGAACAGGTCCCTGGAGCCCTCCCAGCCTGGAATGAGAGGCCTTGCATCTGTGTGGGAATGTGTGCATGATCACTGAGAGAAGTGTGCCTGTCCCCGCTCCCCCACCCCCTTCACCCCCCTCACCCCCAGAAAGGAGAGCCCTCATGGGCACAGGTGCCTGCAGTTATGTAGGTCTTTTGAGGAACAAGCGTCCCCATTCAGCAATGGCAGATTGGGCACCGAAGTGCTTGCCCGAGGTCACACAGGTAGAAGTGGCTGAATGGGGACTGGCATATGGAATGGGGTGTGCTGGTTTCCAGAGCTTGGAGGCAGCCTGGGGCAAGGCTGGGAGTTTCTGAGAAGGTTCCAGGCCAGAGTGCATGCATTCCTTCATTAGTTCAGGTTGTTCATTCCACTGGGAGCCCTCGCAGCCTGGTGAGAGCCCTGATCGCAGTTGTTCAACGGCAGGAGGGGGTCTGAAGGCTGCTCCTCCATGTATGGGACCTCTGTGACGAACCCACATGCCCCCCAGGGACATGCGAACCAGTTCAAAGTTTCTGCTGCTCTCCCCTCCCCCAACATACTTCAAGGCATGTGGAAGGTACGGGTTTCTCAGGCAGGTAAAGGTCTCGAAGCCTGAGGAAGAATCCAGACCTTCTTGCTTCTGCCACTTATTGGCTGTGTGACCCTCGGCAAGCCACTCAACCCCTCTGTGCCCCAGTGTGTGACATGGGGATGATGTCCTTTTCAGAATACAGTGGGTGGAATAATGAAGTCATGTGCTTAGAGCAGGCACATTGTAGGAGCTTAACCAGCGGTGGGCAAACTTTTTGACTCGAGGACCACAATGGGTTCTTAAACTGGACCGGAGGTCCGGAACAAAAGCATGGATGGAGTGTTTGTGTGAACTAATATAAATTCAAAGTAAACATCATTACATAAAAGGGTACGGTCTTTTTTTTTTTTTTTTTTAGTTTTATTCTTTTCAAACAGGCCGGATCCGGCCCGCGGGCCGTAGTTTGCCCACAGCTGAGCTTAACACACACAAGACCCCTCAACATCCCCACACTGCACTGCTCCAGGCTGGGGTGCCTGGGGTGACCCTGAGGCAGGCACACAGCTTGTGACAGGCAAGATTGGGTGCAGTTGAGGGGTCCTGGCCCAGCCTCCAGCCTGAGAGAAATTAACCAGATATGCAGTGGGAAGGACTCAGGGGAGACCATGGGAAGCTCTGAGGACAGGAGAGATTAGAGACCTTATGACCTTTCCCACCCTCCCCCCAACTTGTTCTGGACTCCCAGGCCGCAGAAGCTTCTCTTGGCTCTGCTTGGCTGCCTCCCTGGGGGAAGGGCCCCTGGACAGCCCTGCAATTCTCTCAAGGTCACCTGAGCTGGCTTGATCTTCTCTTTCCGCCTCAGAGGCACACGACAGTCTGTTGTCTCAGCCCTTTCAGTGTCCAGGGACTAGTGTGAGCACTTAGGGAGCTTCAGGGGATCTCACAGGCCATTGTCCCCTCACCTATTGCCCCACTGGTGGGTGGTCTGGAGCCCTGAATGCCCACTTCAGGTGGTGTCCTGCTCATCTCTCCTTCGCGTGCAGCCTCAGCTCCTGGTCTTAGTTCCACAAGACAGCGGGGAGCTGCTGAGGCTGGGCAAGGACGGTCACTGCTGGGTCCCTGCATGCTGCCCTGGAGGGGCTCTCAGTCTGATGGGAGAGACAGACAGTGCAAATCTGGTGTCCTCTCTGCATTGGTAGCGATAGCACACGGCATGGGGTGGGGGTATTCTCAGAGGAGAAGCCTGAACAAACCTGGGAGCGCGGGGAAGGTTTCCCGGAGAAGGGAAGATGAGCTGAGTACCGACGCCTGAGCAGGTGCTCACCAGACAAATGAAGTGGTGGGAAGGGCATCCAAACAAAAGGAACAGAGTGGGCCAAGGTGGGGCTGCAGAAGGTGCATGAGGGAGAAGTGGGATCGAATCTGGAGCCATAGAAAAAGTAGTCGTCTCTCCGTTTCCATGGGAGATTGGTTCCAGGACGCCCCAGGATACCCAAACCCAGGGATGCTCAAGTCCTTTATATAAATGCTGCAGTATTTGCATATAACCTATGCGCATCCTCCCGTATACTTTAAATCATCTCTACCATATCTAATATATTTTATAATCATCTGGTAATACCTACTCTTATAATACCTAATACTTAAATCATCTTACAAAACCTAACACAATGTAAGTGCTATGTAAATAGTTGTTAGGCTGTATTGTTTAGGGAATAATGAGAAGGAAAAAAGTCTGTACTTGTTTAGTAAGATGTAATCATCGTAGGCCTAACTACACATCAACAACATAATTTCTTTTTTGAATATTGTTGACCTATGGTTTGTGGAATCTGCGGATGGGAAACCCACAGACGGTACTGTCCAGGCCCAGAGGGCTGAGAAGTGCCCACTGGGCTGTGTCGGGGTGGGAGGAGTGCCAGGCCGAAGAGCTCCCCACCTCCTGGGGCTGGCAGTGGCGGATGCTGAGCAGCCCCCAGCTTTCCAAAGTCAATGAATAACCTGGGGGGCTGGGCAAGGCCAGGCCTGCTGCTGCGGGCCCAGTGGTGTTTTCCATTCCCGAGCAAGCGTGGCGGGACCGCCTACCTGCTCAAGTGTACGCCCTGCCTGCTCAAGTGTCTGCCCTTCCCTGCTCCACCCAGCCAGGTCCAGCCTGCACTCCTTGGAGAAAAACCTGCTCACCTGGCAGCTGGACCAAGGGAGCCAGCTTTAGGCACTAGCAGGTGAAGGCCTGGGCATTGGGGGTGGAGGGTGGGCAGGGCTGAGGTGGGGTTGGTGGTGGGGGACGGAGAAACTGCCTTGTCCCTCCGCCATCCAGGGAAGATCGGAGTGGTTGTCCATGCTCCGTGTGCCCAGCTCCGTGCTGAGTGCTGGAAAATGCCACGATGAGGGCAGCGTTCCTCCCCTGAGTGTGTAGGATGGCAGTGGAAGGAAGAGCAGCCCTGGAGACCCTGAACCAGGAGTCCTCTGTTCCAGGAGGAATTCTCCTTGTGGTTCATTAATCCTCTGTGACCTTGGTCAGGCCCTGTCCTTCAGGCCTTGCCTGCAACATGAGGCAACTGCTGTCATCAGGGTCTTTCCAAACTTGTGTGATTTTTCAGGGCTGCTATGGGGAGGCTAAGGTGGGAAGGAGACAGCGGTCTGGAGATGGAAGTCCCACGGAGATCCTTGTGGGGCAAGAGCCAACAAGCAGCAGGGTGGCTGGGCCTGGGGGCCTTGGTGTGCCTGGCTGAGCGGCTGGACACTACCCTGCCAGGAATGGGGAGCCACCAGCCCTTCTAAGGGGAGGAAGAGGAGGCCAGTCTGTCTGCGTATTTGGAATAAGCTGAGGCAGGGGATAAAGGTGGTGGCAGTGTCCACGTGGGTGGGCTGGGGAGGGCAGCTTTGAGAGTTGCTGGTACAGCATTGAAAGGGGACAGGAGGAGGCCTGGCTGCCTGCCCCATAGTGATCCGGCAGGAGAAGGTTCATCTGCAGGAGGGACGGTTACCACCCACGGCGCTTGGAAAAGCCAAGGCCTGGAGCGAGTGGGGATGAGGAGAGGAATACTTTCTAGGGGGAAAGGGGTGGAAGAGCCTCCTGCCCACCCATCTGGGCTGGATCCTCACTGCCCTGTCCCTCAGGCCCGTCCTGACCATGGTCCCTGCCTGGCTGTGGCTGCTTTGCCTGTCCATCCCCCAGGTGAGCTGAGTCCTGCTCCCCTCCTTCGGATCCTGGCTTTGGGATAGGCACCCTTGCTCCCCACTCCACCTGGACCCCTTACACCTACCATAGCTGGTAGTAGTTGGGGGCAGGGGATCAGAGCTGCCTATCGGGATCGTGAGGGTGGATGCGCTCAGGTATGGCCAGGTCCAGGGAAGAGGCAGAAATTCCCCTCCCTGTGAGGTCCCCAGTGCCAGGGCAGGAAGATAGAGCCTGGTGACAAGGTGAGAATCCTCCCACAGGCTCTCCCCGAGGCCCAGCCTGCAGAGCTGCATGTGGAAGTCCCAGAAAACTATGGTGGAAATTTCCCTTTGTACCTGACCAAGGTGAGCTTGACCAAGGTGTACCTGACCAAGGTGGGCTGCCCTCCCCAAATCCTGCTTGCTTCCCTGACCTCCAGCACTCCTTTCCCTTCTTGCTCTGGCTTACTTTTAAACCCTGCTCTCTGGAGAATATGCAATACAGCGTGTATGACTAGCAAGATCTTAATTCCAGAAGAAAGTAGATCTTTAAGTTAAAGAATGAGGTATTGGAAGAAGAGTTTCAGGCTTTAGAGAGAAGGGCAGGGAGTATTAGGGAGCATCAGGTACAGGACTGAATCTCAGTCCTGTTACTGGCTGTGTGACCTCTCCAAGCCTCAGTTTCCCCACCTATAAAAT